ATATTATATATATCTCGAATGAAATGATAATGAAGCTTTTTAGGAAGAGCTCTGTAAAGAGTGCCACAAGGGCATCTGTTTTCATTTTTCTTCTGAAAGCCAAATAATGAGTCTCTAAAGCCACTAGTTAAATTTTACTTCTGAAAATACTGTTGGCAAATGTTGGGGAAAGAGAATGTAAAACCTTTGGGGAGACTTAATCTGTTTTGACATCTTTTTCAAAACAGAAAATCTGCCAGAGGATAGAAGAACTTCATGGTATCTAATAAACAGAAATTGCTTTTGAAAAGTATTTTCTGTTAAATAAAGTTTTGAAAGCTGTATTGATTTTTATTTTTGTTTAAAAGTCTCTATAGAAATAATATTACTGTTTATCTTCACTCGTACACAACTTCTTTCTGTAAAGAATTGGCTTGCGGATCCTAATGGGGGCAGTGAAGGAGAAGAACATATTCGGGGAATTATGGCTGAAGCAAGGAAAGTTGCAGAATTATGTGAGGAGCCGAAAGAAAGAGATGATATCCTTCGTTCCTTGGGGGAAATCTCTGCTTTGACGGCTAAGCTGTCAGATCTGCGGCGACAGTATGTACTAGTTTTATCACCATTAATTTGTTTGAATGATTTTCATTTGCAGTTCAAAGTGCTGAGCAAAATCAGAATATTGATGATGAATTGGGGAATATATTTTCCTCCAAGAACTGGGGATGGACATCTTATACTTCTAAGTTTCTATCCTGCATTTAGGAAAAATTGAATGCGAAGAATTGTTCTGTTCCTAGGGGGGGGGAAGCTAACTTTTTAACATCCTCTAAAAAATATAATTTATAGAATATGGTATCCTTTGTAATGCTTCAACCTAATGATTTCTTCCTCAAAGCCCAACTTGTACTATCTTCCTTTCTTCCCCCCACTCCCCAAAAACCAAAAAAAAAAGAGTAACTAGCATTGTATTATCTAGAAAATATTTTCTTTCCACTGCCTATGGAATATTTGACAGGCAAACCGAAGCCAAAAGTGAGCTCCTTTGTACTGTCAAAGCACTTCAAAGGAATGAGATAATGTGAAATTTAAGTTTGTTTATACAGACAAATGTCATCACTGTTTTTTGCTAAGCAGTTTACTAAATGGCGAGGTGGAATATCTAGCACTTCAATCAGTTTCAGTGTTCTAAGCTGTAACTGCAAACTATTCAGAAAACCCTGTTACTTTGGGTTCAGTGCTCAGCTGCAAATGATGTTTCTCTGTCAGTTTTGCAAAGAAGATGCTTGAGAATGAAAGTGGAGAAACAATTATTGTATAAATTGTGATCTTCATCTATGGCCAGTGGCAATATGGAGAAAAATATTTTTCTTTCTTCATTAGTTAGACACTTTAATCAAATTTTTCTTGAGATTTAGCTGCTGCAGGTCTTAATGTGCTACCTCTTTACAAGTTTATATATAGCCTTGGTTCTGTTGCTGCTTACTTTTCTGCTTGTAATCTGTGCGGCATTATTGCAGTTGCTCATAAGACAGCCATGAGTATGGTAAATCAAAGTCATACATCAGTATTATCAATGACAGTACCATGCCTTCCCCCACCTCAGTGCTGTGTTGAACCTATGATGTAATATCCAGGTGCCACAGCAGAGAAGTGTGAGGTGGGGATTTATGGATGACAGGTCTGCATTATTTGCTCTGAGACTCAAGTATCAAATTTAACCTTATTTAAAGAGATGAAGTGCCTTTCATTGTGTCGTCTTTCTGAATTTGGGATTAGCTGTAGATGATCTTTGTATGACTATACTTTTTTTAATCCTTAGTGGGAAAGGTGACTCTCCTGAGGCCCGTGCGTTGGCTAAACAAATAGCTACATCACTTCAGAATTTACAGTCCAAAACAAACAGGGCTGTAGCAAATACTAGGCCAGTTAAAGCAGCTGTCCATTTGGAGGGCAAGATTGAGCAAGCTCAGAGGTGGATAGACAATCCTACAGTTGCTGATCGGGGAGTAGGTAAGTGTTTCCATGTGTTCCTCCCCCCCAAGTTTTATGGTTAAATTTGTTAATAATTTTTATGACTGAAATTACTGCTCCTGGGATGCTGAGGATGCATGAAATCTCTTCACTGATGTGGAGACCTGCAGCTTGTGGCTGGAGATTTATAGCCAAGTCACGGCTGCAATATTATTGAGCCGAGTTGGCCCATGATTCTCTTTGTCTTCTGGAAAGAACAACTTTGGCAAAGAATAGGAGAACGTGTGCTATAGAACAGACAAACTTCAGACTGCTCCTTGCTCCTACTGTTACGCAAATATAGTATCTCAAATTTGAATTTATACCTACTCCAGTAAATTGAGTAATTAAGTCCTTTAGGGAGAAAAACATTCATAAACCTGACCTAAAAATACCACTTCTTGTATGGTTTCTGGGTTATCTGAGGAGAATGCTACTTCATCAAAGAGAAAAGTGATCTGAGAATCTGAGCATGCTATCAGCAGGCATATAATTATGGTTCAGGAGCTGCTCTATGGAGAGCTTATTGTAAACCATTTCTGAAATTTCTTGTTTAGCTTCTTCTGATGCTATTGCAAGTAGGTGGATGAAGCTTGAAAACTGGATTCAGTAGTTTTTTCCACAGCACTTAAGTCTGAGCACTGCAGTTATGTCTGAGCAGTGCAACTGATAAAGACGAGTGGAAACATGGCTTATGAGAAGTAGTATAACTGCAGACCTTTAATGTCTTTTCCTCATACGTTTCCCTGTCTCTCAGGATAACTTCTGTTGTGTGAATAACCAATGACAGATCCTTGAATTAAAGATTTAGTGGTGTTAATAGCTTGGACACTTGTGAAGTGCAAATTTATATGCAGTATTTTAAACAGAATAGTGGAGTTCCATGTTTTGACACTTTCTGATGAGCAAATTGCACATTGGTGACCAATGAGATGACCAAGAAGGCGGTAGATGGGTCTCATGAGATGTTTTGGCAGTGGCTGAAAACCTTCCTAATTTTGATATTTCTCTTGAACATAGTAGCCTGTGAGGTGGTTGGCTCAAAGAAGCACAAAACCTAAACTTCTTTTTTTTATTTTTAATTCGAAAGAAACAAAGGTAACTTAAATCCTGCCTGATGTCTGTAAGTGCCTAGTTAATCATGAGGCTTGCATACATACTGAAAGCTTGCTGAAGGAACTGAAGTTTCTCAACGCTGGATATATACTACAGAATTTAATCAATTGCTGTAGTAATACATACGACAAAAATGTGTGTAGAGATGCAATATGTTGCATGCCCCATAACTTCAATATTTCTAGTTTAATGAAGAAGAAATCTGGTTTAACATGATGTCATTGTTCAATTTGATCTTTTAAATGTTTTTCACTTGCATTGACCCTTGGCAAGGTGCTTATAGGAAAGGTATATTAAGAATATAAATCAGAATGTGCTCTTTTCAGTCTGGACAGCACTTATGGTAGAATTTGGCCTGGTATTTTCAGTGCTGTAGTAATGTGAAAATACTTCAGTGTTCTCTGCAGTAGTAACGACCACGTCACAAATAACTTGGTGTGTTTGCAGTTATCCCAGCTTCAACACAAACCTAGTTTTGAAGTAGCAAGGCAGAATGTGTATTTTACTTTATAAACACGTGAGCCACTTCAGTGGTGTTAGCTGCTACAAATATTTACATGCAGTCATATTATGAATCATCCTAGCTAAGTGATGGCTAAAGTAATTGGCAGATACAAACTAAGCAAATAGTATTTTGAAATACTAAACTGGTGTGTGAAGTGTACTTGCTTGGCTGCACTTGACTTATGCAAAACAATGATTAAAAAATATCTTGGGACAGTCCAACAGCACCAAACTTAGCTACACTAATAAGCTTTCTAAAATGATGGTGGCAGTGCTGAGTGATTCTTTGGATAGTCAGGTCCTGTGACAACTTTCTACTAAGTAGTTTTGAGCTTGATCGTGAACTTGCATTACTTGTGTGTTAGCATTGCCTTAAAATGATTCTTCAGTAGGTCTTTGAAGGACCTAATATACGATCACTTCCTTTAAAAGAAGAATACTATTGTATTGAGGAGCATGTTCTTGTGAAAGAACAGGAAGCTTCTGTAAGTGAATGAAGGAAATCACTCACACTAAAAATAAATTTTTTTTACAGAAAAACTTTTGAAACACTGTGGAAGCTTTATAAGGATTTCCTCCCCCCCACCCCCGACACTTGACACTTCTTACACATAATTTCTGGAATCCTGGGAGAGGGTATTCTGCTTTTTCATTTATGTTTTCTACTTGGCTTTTCTCCCCCTCTTCCTGCTCATCTTCTAATGTCTTGTAATGATGTGAAGATGAATTGCAGTACTTGGAATTTGCAAGTGCTTTCTATTGGAGTCAACAGATTAGTTATGTAGGAATACCTGACAGCTGTAATGGTTAACTTCTGTCGGGCCACCCTAGTTAAAAAAGATGCATCTCTAGCCAGAGTTGCTGTAATAAGCAAAAAGAAACTGGTGAGAGTTTAATTCCTCTATGGGTTTGAACTGCAATTGCTTAATGATAAACTGCAGAAGATGCTTTCCATTGCCTAGAAAGGTGTTCTTAAAAACCCAAGAATTCTGAAATGTCACTTACTTCATAGTGCATCTGATTTATGCTTTCAATTTTGTGTTCCACTATATGTTAATGCAATGTGACTTCTTCCACTGTAGGCCAGGCAGCAATTCGGGGTCTGGTTGCAGAAGGTCGTCGTTTAGCCAATGTTATGATGGGACCTTATCGTCAAGACCTGCTTGCCAAGTGTGACCGTGTAGACCAGCTGGCTGCTCAGCTAGCTGACCTTGCAGCAAGAGGGGAGGGAGAATCTCCTCAGGCCAGGGCAATTGCTGCTCAGCTTCAGGACTCACTGAAGGTAGAAGTCTGCTCTTGTGTGGTGAAATGCATGATATGCTGAAGTACTTGCACTCCTCTGATAAAGTGTTTGTGTATGGGAGGCATCAATAAAAACAAAAAGAAGTGCAGCAAAAAAACTCGTTGGTTTAGCTGAGATGCTTAAAGTAAACTTTCTACAAAGTCCTTGATATCACGGTGTAGGGATTAATTCCAAATGAACAATTTAGAAAATAAAAACAGTCTCATTTTAAAAGAAAATAGTATGCTAGCATTGCAAATTTGAGGGGCAAGGTCTCAAATCGTGCTCTTCATAGCTTCTGATGCTGCTTCAAGGAGTGGTATGTAAGCTTCTGGTATTTCAAATTATGTAAAAAGTGATTCATTGATAATGCTTTTAAGATCATTTTATCTTAATGGCTGCCATTGTAATGGGCTTTTTTTTTTTTTTTTGCAAGAGGAGGTTGTATGGATTTGTATCCCTACAAACTTAATATTCCTGTATCATGTGCTAATAATTTTGCTTTCTTTTAAGGATCTTAAAACACGGATGCAAGAGGCAATGACCCAAGAGGTTTCTGATGTTTTTAGTGACACCACAACTCCTATTAAATTATTAGCAGTAGCAGCCACTGCTCCTTCTGATGCTCCCAATAGAGATGAGGCAAGTGTACCCAGGTGGTCTTTTTCCCATGTGAAGCTTCAGTTATTGTTTAATTTTACCTGAATTGGTGTTTTGAAAAATGAATCAGTTTTTTTTTTTTTTCCTCAAGCTTGTGATACATGTTTATTAATTCTGACAGTGTAATGATTGTCATGCAAATTTCTCTGGATTCTTGAAGATGGCAAATCCTTCTGTATATGCCTGGAAACTGTATTGTCCCTGACTTCAATAAATGGCAAAGATTTCTCCCTGTGATGTTTGTACCATGTTGCCTTCGGCAATGCTAAAAACTCTTGTGCAAAAATCACTGACACACTGGTTAGTGGATTGTATATCTCGACATTATATAAGCTGATTAAAATAGTCAAATTCATGCCAAGATTGATCAACAGATTTAACCTGTGCTCTTGCTGTGTAATGTTTCCTGTACTTCAAAGCTACTGGCTGCATGTGAAGTATCTAAAACTCTGTGGCTGGCAGCTCTGTTTGGCTAGTTGATTTGAACGTGATCAAAATGATTCCTAAGGCCTTGGGGAATTTAGTTTTATGATAGGATAGGTTTTTGTCAAAGTATTCTGTGCCTTGAATAACTAAGGACTGTGGAAGGAGGGATTTTTTTTTTCCAATGTGAAGCTTCAATTTTTAGGGTAAAACCCCATATTTATCTTCCAGATATAGTTACTTTTGGATTATGGGTTTGAAGATTAATGTCTATGAGCTAAAATAGTTTTAAGACAGTATTTGTTACAGCAGTAGTCATCAGGAATTTGTGTACTTAATACCTCAAAGCTATAAAGTGTGGTAGTATCCTTTGTTGCCCTGATGAGTTAGTAAAGAACAAAGTCCAGTAATGTAAAGATTAAAAAAATGAAATAGCTTCAAAGCTTCTGTGTCCTGTTGCATCCTCTCAGGAGATGCATTAAGTGTGAATGTTATCAAGGTGTCTCGGGTATTTGACACTTTGAAATTATGTATTCTTTAGGGAAGTTAGGCTTTTTTAATATGCTTTTCTATTCTGACAACTAGGTGTTTGATGAAAGAGCAGCAAACTTTGAAAACCATGCTGCTAGGCTGGGAGCTACAGCAGAAAAAGCAGCTGCAGTTGGAACTGCGAATAAAACTACTGTGGAGGGCATTCAAGCAACAGTGAAATCAGCAAGGGAACTCACCCCACAGGTTTGCTTCCTTAGTCTCAAAGGGCTATTAAAAGGGCTGGGGGTGACTTCTGTGGAATTTTCTTTATGCCTCTGCTATCAGAGAAAGATGTTAATACCAGCAAGGAACATAGTGCTGACACTTGAAAGGAGAATGGCAAATATTTGTGTATATGGTACCAAGTAGAATAAACGGATTAAATGACATCTTACTTTTCAACTTTTGGACAGAAGCATTAGTGACTTATCCTTGAAACAAAATTACTTTGAGGCTTAGTAAAATATGTAAGTGGAAAAAAATGCTCTTTTATGAACGTACTTGAGTGCTTTCAAGAAGTGTTTTAAAATGAAGACTTCTTGATGTATAAGCATGTAATTGAAGTTCCAGAAAAAAGTATTTTTGTCAACAAATTCCAGAAGCATTGTAAATCTTCAAGCAGCTAGATGTTGAACTAGAATTAATGAACTAGTGTTCCAAATGAGGAGCTATACATCCGGTCCTGAAAAACAAATGTATTTTCAGGAATATGTGTGATGTCGTTATATACTGATACTTCCATAATTAAAAATGTTTTCCATTGGCAGGTGGTATCAGCTGCTCGTATCCTCCTGAGAAATCCTGGAAATCAAGCTGCTTATGAACATTTTGAGACCATGAAAAACCAATGGATTGATAATGTAGAAAAAATGACAGGTAAAGTAGGAATTTTTGTTGAAGATTATACTTGTCGCTAACTAGCTGGTATAGATTTTTTTCCCCATTCTGTTTGGATTGATGAAACATGCATAAGAGTAATGACTCATTAAAAAGAAATTAAAGAGAGGTGGGAATGTGCTCTCTGACTCCAGAAATAGGTATATGTTACAGCATAAACAAAATACCTTGCTTCATAGGTGTTAATTTTGAGCTGCAGGGGAGCAAACTTGGCTTTAGTTCTTTTGTGGGAAAAACAGAATACCATTAATTTTTATTGCGATTGCTATTCTAGCAATATATCACTGTAGCAACTTGAGTTTTTTCTCTACATAATCCTGGCATGTTGAATGAGGACAAATAATTAAGTGGGGGCAAGAAAACATGTTTAAAATGATGTAACAGCTTGATGAAAGCAGTGAATAAAATAAAGCTAGTGATCCACTGAATCTTGCCGAGACATTTAAATCTTTCAGTCTTTCCAAAGTGCAGATCCTTTGAACTGGTCTGCTAATGTCCTGACTGTATAACTACTTCCTTCTCCATCCCCATAATTAAATTATAGGTATTTTAAATCTTACTGCCTTGTCACTATATATCATCCTTAAGTAAAAGCACAGCCAGAGGGCTATTTCCTTTTGAATGAATGGGAGAGGTACAAAAAGTACAAAGTGTCAAGAATATGCTTGAAGAAATTTGGTGGGAGGAAGGAAGCTCTGCTGCATATGCTGTGTAAGCCAGATCTTGACTCAAGCAATGTTCCATGGTAGATGACTAAGAGCTTGGAATGCCATTAGTGGGAGCAAGCCTGACCACGGTTACTGTGATAGAGGCACCACATAATCAGAAGTAAAACTGCAATAATACATTCGGTCTGATTTCCATGCCCCTTCTGCCCCTCCCCACCCCCCAGTTTGCAAATACTTACCTTTTTGGTTGTGAACAGTCTCTGGAATACCAAATATCCCTTTCCACAGATGAAACTAGAATGTTAATGTGTTTAACTTTTATTCTAGGCTTGGTGGATGAAGCCATTGATACTAAATCTCTGTTGGATGCATCAGAAGAGGCTATTAAGAAAGACCTTGATAAATGTAAAGTTGCGATGGCCAATATTCAACCTCAGATGCTGGTAGCTGGTGCCACCAGCATTGCTAGACGAGCAAACCGCATCCTACTGGTAGCAAAACGGGAGGTTGAAAATTCAGAAGACCCTAAATTCCGTGAGGCTGTTAAAGCAGCCTCTGATGAGCTAAGCAAAACTATATCGCCAATGGTAATGGATGCTAAAGCTGTAGCAGGAAACATTTCTGATCCTGGTAAGGATTCAGTCAGCTGATTTCAAATATATTTTTTACTGGGTGAAGATGATGTGAAGTAGTGCTTATTTGGTCTTGTACAGCTGTGTATCCCCTTTTATGCAGATTTTGTGTACACTTAGATCCCAGAATGGTGAAATCAAGGTCACACCCCTAACTGCTGAATCCTGCTCTTTTAAAATGCAATTAAAGACCTTTGGCATATTCAAGAGAAAAGGATTCAGCATTCTAGTTTATTACATGATTTCATAATCTTTATTAGAAGAAGTATTTGTCACTAGTTGTTAGTAGTACTACTTTATATAAGAAAATATTATCTAATTTCTTTTATTCTAAAAGTTGTTCTGGGAATTACTTTGGTTATTGATAGTGACTATTACCCAGCCCAGGCTTTATTTTATGCATGTTGCATATGACACTAACATTTCAAACATGTAAACATTTTGGTAGGTTTTAAACTTTTTTTTAATGTATGTATGTGTACTTGGCACAGTATGTTATAGAAGTAATTTTTTGGGGGTAGTGTTGCAGTTCTAAATATTACAATATGCTGTTAAACTAGTAATGGAATTTTTGTTCAGGTTTGCAGAAGAGTTTCTTGGATTCTGGATACAGAATTCTGGGAGCTGTGGCCAAAGTCAGAGAAGCTTTCCAGCCTCAGGAACCAGATTTTCCCCCTCCTCCTCCTGACCTTGAGCAGCTTCATGTAAGTGCAGCATGGTTTGTAATACAATACACAGTTGTCACTGACAACGTGTGGATTGCACACTGAAATTACTTGAGTATATTTTTATTCCTTAGAAATAAAATGCATTGTCTGGCCAGCCATGCATACAAGTAGCCTTAAGTCTAAAAAATACCAGTCCAGCTTTCAAAAGAAGAGATTAAAACATAGTATTTCTTTTAACACGGAGCACTTGAAAAACTGGAAAAAGGCATGAGCTCATGCAATCATGTCTTGCCATGACGCCATCCTTGACTCAATCTGTGTGCTATTTCATTGCACTGAATAAGGCTTTTTCCCTTCCTTAGCTGACTGATGAGCTTGCTCCTCCAAAACCACCACTTCCAGAAGGTGAGGTTCCCCCGCCCAGACCGCCACCACCTGAAGAAAAAGATGAAGAGTTCCCAGAGCAGAAAGCAGGAGAAGCTATTAATCAGCCGATGATGATGGCTGCTAGGCAGTTGCATGATGAAGCCCGGAAATGGTCTAGCAAGGTAAGAAGTTGTTACATGTGTCTTTCGCTAAACGGAAATTTTTTTTTTTTTTTAAATCAGTGTGTTTGGTCCAAAGTCAGTTGTCTCAATGACAGAGAATAGTCTTTTATAGATCAAGTAGTAAAAACACAGCTGTAGGAGGAATTAGAAACCCTTTCAAGTTCGGAGTGAACTAGAGTCAACTGTTCTAATACTCAGAATTGCCAGAATGCTTTATTAACATACCTCTGTAAACACAAACGTGCCTTGTAAGCTAAGCTGTTTGTGATCCTTGATGCTAGTATTGCCTAGAGAGCCACTAATACTTATGCCTTTCTAGGCTGACAAGCTGATTGCTATATTTAAGTGGCTTTTGAAAAGTCTGTATGGATGTTGCAGATGCCAGCTGCAGGAATCATGAGCTGGTTTGTCTTAATTCTGGAAGGAGCTGCAAGTTACTTTGCAGTTAATCTGGTGCATTTATGATTGGAAAAGTGACCATATATAGATGGCCTGGTCTCATTCTTTTTTGTACTGAGTCACACTCACTATCAAGGCCAAAATCCTTCATTTCCTTACCATTTCAGTGCTATGACAAAGCAGTGTGAACTCATTAGTCTTATAAATACTAACATAACTTTTCTGCTTTCCCCCTTTTTTTCCCCAAAGAGCTACAGTTTTCCTCTAGCAGCAACTGAGTAAACTGAGATTTAGGCTTCTGCAGGTATAAATTAAAGATCAGAATTTGGCTTTTAAAATCTCCACTTTTTTTCTCCACCAAATTAAATGGTGAATGAGAAGATAAACTTGAATAGCTTACAGAATCAATTTCAGTGCTTTGTGCTTAAGGAACATCTGTTTTGGAAGTACAGATAAAATACAAAAGAAATCCTGCAAATCTGTTTGAGTGTCTCTTCCATAAAATGAAAAACTCTATTTTCCCCCCCCACTTCTGGATATACCAAATACAGATTTGTATTACTAAAGGGATAGTACTGGAATGTAGTAGTCATCTCAGAAGATAGTTTTGAGGCCAAAAACCTTAATTTCAGCTTCCTAAAAGTGTTTTGATGTTTGAATCCCAAAATGGTAACTTAACAATACACATAATAAAATGCTTTCACTATATCCTAAATTATCTATATATACTATATACATTCTAATTTAAATCATGCAACTGACAAAATATTTATTTATTTATTTATCAAAGCCAAGCAGCAGACCTTAAAACTCCTTGCTGATTATGAAAGAGCTCTAAGCTTAGTGTATTTAGATTACAAAACACTGTTTTCATTGCTGTTTCTTTAATTTGAGACCAACAAACAGTAAGTTAGCCTAGCATTTGTCCTTCTAATTCTTTTTTAGCTGTCCCATTTTAGCAATAAGAGTACAGTTATTCTGACAGTATGTTTTTTGGGAGGAAGTCTGAAAAACATTTTTGTAGTCTCTGAAGTCACTTATTGGGTGGAAGAGGGATTGATGGACAGTGCTACTGAGGAATACGGATTAGACCTGGAAAGACGGAAATATAAGGTCTTGCTCCTACTAAATCACAATAGACTGCGTCAACTGTCTTCTGCTTTTTTTCCCCCAATTACATTAGACTACTGGTACTACTTATGCTTATCGGGGGGACAAGTACTTAGTATTTAAAAATTTTTGATAACATTCTTCATCCTTGCAATATTTAAAATTGATTTGTTTTTTCTTCTTTACAAAAACTCCTCTTCACTGAGTGGATTCTGGGCTTTTATGTACTCCATTTTTCTCATGGAGCACAAACTGAACAGTCTTTATTGCTTTAGCTTTCCCTGCTTTTTGGCCTCGTTTGGATAAATCAGAGTGAGGGATATTTGGAAACTTTTCATTAGATTAAGACTTAAATAGAAGTTGTCTTTGAAGATGAGTTGATTTGGCAGTATATAAAAGTTACAACTTCCTTCCAAAACTTCTGTGTGTTTTCATTGGTGTAGATGTTTTTCTATAAAAGGCCATATCTTAAGCAAAACACAGTTGAAAATGCATAGTTTTTGGTAAGGGTAGTTTGACTTTTATCACACTTGGCTTTAGTCAAAGAAATACAGGTAGTAAACTTGTAGAATATTTTTGTATTGAAATGCTGCTGTATTATAAATGCCTGTATTGTTATACCACTTACCTCTTCTTTGTGATCTACCCTAACACAATATATTTCCTTGAATCCTCTTTTTTTTTTTTTTTTAAGGTAATGGATACAACATATTGTGGCAAAGCAGTATCATATGCTTCATAATCCTCTTATTCTACTAATTCTGTTTCAGTCTTTTTTAAGAACTGTAATATTCACAGCATTCATAACATTCAGCATCACTTCCTGTTTTCATAACCCGCTTTTGTTCTTTTTCATGTTATCTGTGGTACTTCAATACTCAATTCTACAGTGTCCCCCACCCCACCTTTTTTTTTTCCCCCTCTACAGCAAGCAGCATCAGTGGTTTTTCTGTGATCCAGCTGCTATCTCTTCTTATCACTTATATGTGAACAGGCTTCCATAGAAGGCTTTCTATCTGCACAAATACCACAGTCATCAGCTGCTGTGCCTGCTTCTACGCAGTTGAAACGGCTTTCATTGAAACAGAAAATCCATTCATTTCACCACTGTCTTGCCAGAAGAATGTTGTTCTGCAAGTCAGCCTCTGTCTGTAGAAGCTGTATGCTCAGATGAAGAATGCTGCTGCATCTTTGAATTGTAACTTCTTAATATTTTTGGTATCTTTGGTTCACAGGTGAAATGTTTGTTTCCTTCTGCTGATCTTGTATCCCTTCCCCTCCTCCCTCTGACCTGATCCTAGAGCTGTCTTGTCAGATCCTGAGAGACCAAGAGGATGTTTTGGTCACTAAAACAGCTCAGTTCATGCTCTTCTACCAAATTCTGCTTCTCATACTAACTGTCCCCTGTTTCTCCACCCTTGCTGCCACCTGCAAAGCCTGATGTGACTGTGATTAATGAAGCGGCTGAGGCTGGTGTAGATGTAGATGAGGAGGATGATGCAGATGTTGAATTCACTCTCCCCTCTGACATTGAAGATGATTACGAGCCTGAGCTGCTGTTAATGCCAACCAATCAGCCTGTTAACCAGCCCATTCTGGCTGCTGCTCAGTCTCTACATCGGGAAGCAACCAAGTGGTCTAGTAAGGTACTCCTGAGTCTCCCCGGGGACTGATCCGTGTGCATCCAGCCATTTGGAACGCTGACACATTTGCATCACTCTTGATCCCTGCTAGGCCCCGCCATTCTGAATGAATGCACTTCATTTTAAGGACTGAGAGTGGCTTCACAAGTTTGCTAGATCTGTTTGTCAGTGCTGGATTGAAGCTTGATTTGAGTCACTTATTAATATTTAAAGGCTTCCTCTCCCTTTGCATCTGCCTGTTCTTCTTTGTTATACCAGTTTTCAAATTGTAGTAGGGGTTGTCTTCCTTCCCCCCCTGTTCTTTTTGCCATTCATTTGGGCTACCTGGGAAGCCATGGTTAATGGTTTCTTAATGACTTCCAGATACAGCAAAGTGTACAGCGTTCAAGAAGTCATTTAATGTGTCTATTGTGCTTTGCCTCCATTGATGCCATCAATTAGAATACCTTCCAACAAGGAATGGCTTTGTATGGCAGTGTTTATCAAAGAGGACTGACTGTCTGCTGGCTTGCACTTGGCTGTATTGCAAATGCTGGTCTTGAGAGAGTTCTTTTATGAAGAAGGTGCACTGAATGCTGTTAGCTGTTGAATTGAGATTGTGTTTATATGAAACTAGTGGAAATCTAACATGAGGTTCAGACATTCACAAGTAGCCTGTCTCTTCTGTCTAAGCACAAATGTTTGCAAGACTGGTCACTTTTTGTAGCATGCTGCAAAAAATAAGGTTGGTGTCCCATAACAAAGGTTAGGGGGGTGTGTGTATGTGTGTGTATGTATGTGTGTGTATATATTTACATAGATAGATATACTAAACTATTTTAATAAAAAGGGCTTTAAAAATGTTCTTGTCCTTTTCAGATTCTGATGCTTGGATAACTTGTTAGAGGGCTTCGTAAATGACACTGGTCCTAATTTCTTGATCCTTCTACGTGAAAACATGGAAAAGCTTTGTGTTATGTCATTTGCATCCTAACTGGTTATACTAGCAAACTGTTTAGCTATTAGGTCACGGTAACGAATAGTTCAGCTTTTTGTGTCACCTGTATCTGTAAAATATCTGGGATATCTTCTTGAATTTGCTCGCAGTGAGTCACGGAAGTATGTGCACAGGGATAGAGATTACATTTGCTAAGTTGGGTTCTCACTGTGTACTCTTTGCTCTGAACTTCATCGGTCATTGATTTTGGAATTATACTGAGGAAGGAGTGTGCTAATACTTAAACTCACTCTGCTAATATTTCATCCACACAATAGGAATGCTTCATGGCACCAAATACTTCGCTTCTGTCTAACAACTTTCTACAAAGGTGAATCTAAATATACTAACAGACTACTAACAATTCATCATCTAGGTCTGCTTTTTCTTGCACTAGGTTTCTCTCTGGAACAGTGTATAAGAAATGGTTTTGCCTTGGTCATACTTAATTCACATGTTTCATTCTCAGAAATCATTCTCAGAAGTATTTCTGTGACTGTAATTTTTGATGTACTTAATACAAGAAATCTGGTTTTTAAAGTAATAAATATTACTAGATTATCTTTTGAACTATCAAGTTGTTCTCTCCTGGAAGCTTTATTTTAAAGAGAGAGATTTTGTCAAAAAGGAAGATTTATCTTCAAGAAATAACTTTAAAAAAAAGGAAAAGTAATAGTTGCATCTCATTTCCACGTTACCAGTGACAAAAGTTTTGTAAGTCACAGATTCTCTTCCATTTGTCCTTCAGCATTTTAGCAGCATAGCTGATGCTTTAACAACTTCAGTTTCAGATGCCACTGACAATCTTATGCTCGAATGTTATGGCTACACTATTTAACTTAATTAGTGCTATTTGGTTTAACAAGCTATTTAGCACACTTTTTTTTTAATTTAAAAGAAAGACTTTTTTGGGAAATCTGGAATTTCAAATGCTAATAACATGCTTTATCTTAAAACCTAGCCAGCAGAGCAGTAGCTCTCGTTCCATGGACAAACTAACACTTTTCTTTACCACTTCTTTTCCAGTTTTGAAGCGAACTTTTTTCCTGAGTGTTAGGAAGAAAAATGTCAGAAACATATAATTAGTACAGATCTTCCCTGTTCCTTCAAGAAACCTCTTCTGTGTTCACAAATGGTTCTTCCATCCTTAACTTCTTGAAAGGGTTGCTACCAAAATGTAGACTGCTGTTCGGTCGTGACTTCTGTGAAGCTTCTGTCCTGGCATGAACACTAACTCACGTTGTTCTCTTCAGGGTAACGACATCATTGCTGCTGCTAAACGAATGGCACTGCTAATGGCAGAGATGTCGCGCCTGGTGAGAGGAGGTAGTGGAAACAAGCGTGCTCTTATTCAGTGTGCAAAAGATATTGCTAAGGCATCAGATGAAGTCACTCGATTGGCCAAAGAGGTGGCAAAGCAGTGCACTGACAAGCGCATTAGAACAAACCTCTTACAGGTAATGAGTTAACTTGTAAATGCCTCAAATGCTTTTTTCTCTGTTCCTTTCTTAGTGTGAGTGAGCACAGGAGTTGTGGCAGTAAATCATGTGTATCTTTCCTTGGCTTGTAAAGTTTTGTCTAGTTCTATGTCTGTTCTTAGATCCCATGGTCATATATATTCTGTAAAGTCAGGATTTGTTTACAGGTGAGTGGAAGATGCTAGTGTCCAGAGAGGTTTTGAAAAATACTGTGCTATGAACACTGGTCTGTCCTAAGTCTGCATTCCTTTGTATATCATCTACTCATTCCTTTGTATCAAAGAATAGTAGCGGAAATACAACACTCCTTAGTTTTTCAGTCTCAGCCAAATATACATCATCCCATTCCTAACCAAGCAGACCCTTGAGGAATATCTGGAGGAAAGGAAAAATATTGGCTCCATCCCAAAAATTCCCAAAGCAAGTAAAATAAGATTCAAGTATCCTACCAATATTTGTCAGAAAATCTTGAAGGTTTTAAGATCTCTTCTATACTTGTTCCTTATCTAATAGTAAAACAAAATCAAAAAAATTATCTGAAAAAATAATAGATAATGTATTGGTTCCGTTTACAATGTGAAGTGGTTTTTTTATCCCCATTCCTTAGGTCTGTGAGCGAATCCCAACCATCAGTACGCAACTCAAAATTCTTTCCACTGTCAAAGCTACCATGCTGGGCAGAACTAATATCAGCGATGAAGAGTCAGAACAGGTAAGAAGTGTAAAAATTGACGGTAGTGTGGAATTGTTGATCAGTTTTATGGGGAAAAATATACAATAGGTAATATCAGATGTGTTCTGGGAACTCAATGTTTGGAAGCTTACCTCAGCTGTTTAGTGAAAAAAAATTTTAGTATGGCATCTTGGTATCTGGCTCAAAAACTACAGTTTAATAGAGGAACATCAATCCTTCCCAAGCCAAAAAGCTCCTTTGGTTCAAATTTTTATATGAACAACTTCTTGATCTCCTTGACTTAACAGTAAAAAGCGAGCTAACAAAAGAACTTGCTTCTACAAATACAGCAGGTTTGACATTGGAGGAGTAGTATCACCCTCTGGTGGATTGTAGTGAAAATACTTACTCTCCAGCAACATCTTGAGTACTTGTCTTGCAGTTCTGTTAGCTTCCAATGCATGTTTTCAGTTGGAATCCTGCAGTTCTGGCTTCTGAGAGAGATTATTCTAGTTTGAGACACTAAGCTTTTATTCACATTTTGCACAAATATACAGTGAGAAATGGGAAGGTCTTGTGAGTCAGGATAACACTTGCTAGTTTGAAGAGACTACTTGTTTCATTTACTTTTTCATAGTTTAAGTCAGCAATCGACTGACTTAATGCTTGCACTGGGAGTCCTCATGCATAATGGGTTTCCATGCTACTGTCCTAAACATGGTATTTACTAATACATTGGAAATTTTTCTTTTTCTTGACAGGCAACTGAGATGTTGGTTCATAATGCCCAGAATCTCATGCAGTCTGTGAAGGAAACTGTGAGAGAAGCTGAAGCAGCATCTATTAAGATAAGAACAGATGCTGGATTCACTCTTCGCTGGGTCAGAAAGACCCCATGGTATCAGTAAACACTTGGCACATAAGTATTGTTTTCTGTAACATAAAATACCTTTTTTTGGAAACAGAAGAGATATATTGACAGCAAAAGGTGCTGTATACATGAGCTTAAGATTACCTTATGCTAATGCCCCATTCTAAGGGTATGAGTTATAAGAGAATGCATTTCAAATGTCTTCGGAATGCATTTGATATCAAACACCTCAAAATTGCTTCCAATAGTAGACAGTTCTTATCCTTTTTTTTTTTGCTTTTGAAGATTCTTTTCATGAATTCTGTACTCCCAGAAGCACATTTCATTTATGCACTGTATATTCCAGTAGTTTCCATGTGATGATATAAAACATGGACCTCACTTTAAGCTTGTGTTGAGAGTCTAGGACACTATTGGTTACTTGGCAGTTTTTCTGTATCAATGATTATCCCTACAACATTCAACTTTTCAACAGGATTTTAGCTGGCTGTTCTTAAACCATGCAGAAATGATGGAAGGTGTGGGGGTTTTAGTTAAAAGGGCAGGCAGCAGAACAGTTGTAAATTGACAATTTGAAATTCCATGTCTGAAATGATGTTTTTTTGCTTTTGATTTTTGCCTGGCAACAGTATTTTAACAAAAACTGGAGCTGTCTTTGTCACCCTCCTGTCACCCTGTAGTAGGTAGGCATTCCAGAACTCTTGTACTGTACTGAAATGCTTTGGAGTGGATGTTAGTGGCACACTGCTGACAGCTTGAGCCTTACAGCCGGAGACCTTAAATCACGGAACTCGTTCCTTCTTGCTCAATTCGGTAATGTATTGAGCTGAAAAATCCTGGTTCTCTTAAGCTAGCTGCATGTCCAGGACCAGAAAATGCCACATGCTGGCTCTTTCCTTTTGAAAACCAAATGAGCACATGCAATTATTCTTTTTTCCCTCTTCCCTCCATCTAATGTTATTCCAGCCACTCAAGGTGGAAATTAAAAGATAAAGATATTCAATTAAAAAAGACCTTTTGCTTCACTGCCCTTGTTTCCAACAATGCATAAGCTTTTTGAAACCCAAGCACTGCAGGGACATGAAACCCTTTTTAGGTAGCCTGATGGCTACCAGTAAACAGTGGTTCCTAATGCTAAACATATTAGGGTATTTTTACTGTTTTTGATGTTTGGAGGCTCAAAATCTTTTTTCAAGTTCTAGTAATAGTGAATTGGATGAAGTGTTACTGTATCTTTAAAGAAAAACAAAACCAAACAAAACCACAACAATAAAAACCCAAAAAATCCCCCCACTCTGTTACTAAAATAGACTTGGGATGCTTTTATCCTTCCATAACTGAACATGCCTTCACATATATATACACACACACATATATATATACATACACACGCACACACATTGATTTAATTGCTCCATAGTCTCTTTTGGCATTTGACAGAAAGCAGAATTATGTTCTAGAATGAGTCTCTGCACATTTGCAAGAAACACTTGCAGACTCCTGCCCAGATCAGCACTGACCTCATGATGCCCTCTTAATTTGCTGAAAATTGTTGGATGATCAAATCACCTTTAATAGAAGGGCCCTTGTGGAAAAACTGCTCAGTCTTAACAGCTCGAAGAGACACACAATACAGTTGGCTGTCCTTTACCTGTCTGCAACAGTTATTCTACAGTTGGACTTTCTCCCCTCCATCCCCCCTTCATTGCACTGTTACCTAAAAAGGGAAGTTAAACTGCTTATAATACATCTGCCTCAAACTGACCTTAGCAAGAGAAAGCATGCTTTTGTCTTTAATTCACTCCTTGTGTCTGGGTGTTACGAAATATGTGGTACTTGGGATCTTTCCTTAGTATTCTCTTCCTGCAATTCCCTGCAACAGGAAGAGGAAGGAAAGGGTGCCAGAGCCTTAACCTGAATGTCTTGCATTTGGTTGGTTTATACCAGATCTTTAACATAATTGTAATGTAGTAATTTCTATTTAATAGTAAATAACACTGAATGGGTAGGGGTTATTTTAAAGGGATTTTCTAAATAGTCTTCCTGTATTACTTTTCAATGGTCCTCACGTTTTCTCTCCCCGCCCCTTCAGGCTTCTCTGTGAGATTTTGGGGTTTTTTTAGCATCACTGTTTAGTTGCTTGACTGATATTAATGCAATATTACTAATGCCTTTAATACATAATTGTTTATGCCAAAGATGACTTTTTGTTTATTGAGGAATGTTTGCAGGAAAGTTATGAGTCATGGTTGCCTTTGATATTCTTCCAGAATGTTTGCTATAAGTTCTTGAACTGTTCTGTAGAAGTTAAGAGACTTGTCCACCTTATGCAATTACTGCTTTTTTGAACACTATTAGTCTTCAGACCTGAAATGCAGCAAAAATTTGAAAAAGACCATGAATGTCACTTAGAAATGTTTTACCACTATAAAACTTTGTTTATAAACCAAAATGTATTGTATAGTCTAATGTTTTCAACCTTTCTTTGGTTCTGTTAAAACAATAAAAATGCATTTGTACAAATGTCAGCTTGTGAGTATTAATGAAAACAGAGCAGTGGATAACACTGTAACAAGAGCAGCAAAAAGCTAAAGCAGCAGAAATATAAAGCAAAAGAACAGTTGTTTCTACATATTCTGAACAGAAAAAAGTGCAAAGTTCCTCAAACACGAGAAGATTAAAACAAGTTGTTTCTGTCTTTTGTGCCCATAAAACTAGTAATTAAAGAATTTACTGGAAGCCGTGGTCCAGTGGGAGAAAATGGGAGTTTTTCCAGAAGCCTGATGGTCATCTGTTCTAGTAGCACTGAACAAGGTTCTGAAAACTTGAAATGGGATTTGCCTGATCCTGTCAGTAAGGGAAGAACTGCTGCTCTGGCCAACACCTCATTAATCTGAATTTTACTTCACAAACTGAACGCAAGGGCGATTAGCGTGGAATCGCTGTACTGTTTCCTTCATTCCTTCACAGTGAGAACCTCTTATAAACACTATTTCTCGCTAAAAATTTCTACCAGCACACATAATGTTCTGACTTCGTGGAACCAACATTTATTGGTGCTGTAGGCCCAATGTTCCACAGTGCCGGAAGGCATCTGGGATTTAGTAGTAAGAGGTAAAATTCAGATTTCGTACTGTTCACACAGTTCTTTCTGTATCTGAGAGAGGATGAGAACCCGAGACACAATCACCTTTGTCAGCACTCCCAGAGCTGGACACCTAGAGAAGGGGAGATCAAAAGTTGGCAGTAGCAATTCCTCAATAAGGACATCCTCTGATTTCTTAAGCTGTACTATTCATAGCAGTGCTGGCGCAATTTTTTTTTAACAGGGAGAATACGAGCACGGATTCTGTGTTCTGCAGATTCTGCAGTTGAGTTTCCCATGTTTGCAGAATTGGCAGGAGCCAGCACACCTACAGCAAAAGGGATAAGCCTCCACAACAAACACCATTTCTCTGACAGAAACCATCTTCATGCTCAGGGTGGTTTCCTACCAGGTGAGTGTAATTCTCGTTGACAGCAACTTCTGGTGGTGTGCTGTGAAGTATGGATCAAAGCTTCTCCAGAGACAGAAGCTTTGTGCATGCTTCCCCGGTGCCTGATTTGCAGAAGGTTGGCAAGGCTTGTTCTGTGACACGCTGAAGGGAATTAAGGTGCTAAGGCTAGCCAGTTTTGATGTTACATTATGTTCTGGATCAGTAATGGTGCCAGTTCTGAACGGAGATCTTGCAGCATTTCCAGGCTGTTAATGCAGAGAGCAGCTCTAGCTACTTAGACTTAAGCTTGGGACGTTATCGGTTACATATCTACTGTAATTTCAGAAATTCAAAATGGTTGTCCGTGCCCAAGTTTACCCTAGTGATATCACCAAAGTTACCAATAGAGAACACATGCTCATTTCTTTTCTTACTGGCTTGCTGCCAGCGTTCAGATGCGTTCCCCCTCCTTTTTTCAGACTGGATCATTTTTTGTCCCAGTATTTGAAATTTTGACTACTGAATGACTTGAGTTCCTATTCTTCCTCCGAAGCAAAGTTAGCACCTATTAATCAATTTGTAAGCCAAACAGGTTAGGGAAACAAAGATTCTCCGGTGTCCCACCCTTCCTCAATCTGAACTTGGGTTTCCCAGCCTACTATGTACTGACCAAATGTATGGTCTGAAACCTGACAGGTACTGTGGAGCATGTATTAGTTTACAGAGATAACAAGTTTATGCTGGTGTATAAGGAAAAGTTTAGTCAGCTTTGTATCATCACTGTTGTGTCTTTGAAATGTCATAATCTAAACATTAATTGTTCTCCATTTAAAAAATAAAAATAAGAAAGGGAGCTTACCTGCCATGCTCCTAAATGCCCTTTCTAAACTTAAGTAGCTGCACAGTGATCAAGTTCATTAAAGATGTAGCAAATAGTCATCATTTAATTGTATATCAGATGTCTCCTGCTTAAGAGCATCACGAATAGTTTACAACAGCGCAAACATTTCACAAGAGAAGATGTATTTGCAGTAGAGTTCCCTTTATTTCATAACATTAAAGCACACAACCATTAAATACACTTGACGCTTCTATTGTGCTATCTAAAAGGCTACGCTCCAATGTACACATGGCACAAATCTGGTGGCATCCACTTCGAACAAGTGGAATATCTAAATCAAAGCAAAGGCTTCACATAAAAAATAGATCTTACTCTCTGCAACTGTATTCTTAAAAAAAAATGATGGCTATGATGAGATTGAATGGAAAGAAAGTGGATTACTGAAGCAACAATCACCTCTCAGATTTAATGCAGAATGTTATTTTTATCAGCCCATCTGCAGATGGCACAAATGAAAGCTGATTAAGGCAAATGCTTCTTAAGAAAGGTGATTTCTTGTAAACAACAAGGAAATTATTTTTTTCTTATCAGAAGCTCTTTCTCAGGAGTGACACTTGCTATGTCCCAGGCCCCTGTGGGACCCCTGCCCCTCTTACTGCTGCTATTTCTGAAGGGATTACGTGATGCTTTGTGGAATGCCAGCTTGCAGCTGGCTGTGAGAATAGCTGAGCTTTCTTTGCAGGTGGCTGCAGCAGCAAAACGTGCCACCACAAGACTTTTCCAGTGGCCTGTCTGGCCTTCCTAATGTGCTTGGCCTCTGGGCTTTGGTATCTGACTGGCAGTGTAGTGTTTGTTACGTTTTGTGGATCACCTATATCAAACTACTCACCAGCACAACAACTCGGTAAAAAAAGAGTGAAGGTGTATTAGAAAAAAAGTACCTTATTTTAAAGCCATATTAAGAAAAACTAAGCTATGCTTTCATTTTAAGAGCTGCTGTGCACAAACGCTTTGATCCCAAACTAATCAGTGTCTATTAATTAATTGGCACCTAATTAATAGCAACATAAGTCACTAAGCAGTCAAGTTTTTTTTAAGGGGAATTTCCTCTTGGAAGTAGAGCATCTTCTCATGTCCTGACTTGGAATTTTCCTGCTTTTGTAATATATTTGACACCTTTAAAAGGCTTGTATTTTTCTCCGTACATGTCTAGGCGATTCACTTTCAGTCCTGGAAAAAGACAAAAACAAATACAAAGTTAAAAGTAGAATGCTAGAAATCATGTCAGTCTGTTTAAAAGTCC